CTTCCAGGTATTTGAGGAACAGTTGCATCACATCTGGTGATTCTTCGCGAGCCATGGTTGATATATTGCTTTTACTTGACAAGATAACACACTCGTCTTGAACCGCCAGGAGAAGGGACTCGGATTCAGGTACTATAAAACTTGCTGCGTTGGCCTCCCCTTCGCCGTCTCGGGGTCGTCTAAGGCGAGGATCTGGGTCTTTCTTTCTTCTGCCTAGTTGGGTCTAGCGGCGGCCGGGTCGCTCAGCCTCGGGCCCTCTGCCGTACCTTTCCAACCACTTGGATCAGATCGCCTTTTGTGTACCGGGGCTCGTAACTGTGCCACTACGGAGGGTGGATTTGTGTCTTTCTCTTATATGATGTATCGGTTTTTCTTTTCTATGGAAGATTTTGTAAACCTTTAGAGGACACTCTTCCGCGACCGCTAGATAACATAATATGGAATGCTGTGTCTGGAAATATTGTTTTTATCTAGGAAGTGCCTTTCTGTTTCTAAAATGTTGTATTGGAAATTTCAATAGAACCCGTTTTTTTTATTTATACGATCGACCCTGATTATAATCAACCGAAGTCATCAACCAAACATTTATCAACAAGACACTATAAAACAATTACAACAACCATTTTGTAACCAAAACTCATTCACAAGTATTCTAGCAAACACAATTCTTCACTTGGAGAAAACACGTCAATTATAAGAGCCAGAACAATAGAAGCTATCACAGAGCTATTTATCCACACGATCGTCACTAAACTCCCCGCGACGCCTTCTGACCGCGTCGAGTCCGGATCACGTATTGTTCTGCGCGACATCAACAAACACGAAGCACGTGCCGACGACACTCTGTTTGGCGCCCTTCCTTGTTATTGGTCCGCACTATACCCATGCCAAGCTCTTCTTCCCTTTTTACCCGAGGCTTTGCTGTGCCGCCCAAACAGTCTGGCAGAGATGGTTCGCGGGCGTGGGCGTGTTGGCGGGCGGTCTTACGTGGTCAGTCAGTGTTTTGGTTGTAGCGGATGCCAATAGACTCCGTTGCGTACTCAGAACTGTGGCACAGGCAACGTACATCCGACCACTGATTTAGCGCGAGAAAGCCACATAATCCCTTCTTGCGCAATGAAACGAACACGTCCTCTAGACTTTTGTGCATGCAAACACAGCGCGGCTAATAATACCTATTTAACTGGTGGTCGCAAACACCAACGCGACACTAACATCCCTTTCCTGCCGTCCGACGTGAAATTACACTCTCACATTTCATAATTCATCTCTATCGCTCACATGTCATCCTAAGACACTTCGGCGTTCTTGACAAGCATTTTTGCCGACGGAAATCGGAGCACATGCAACCACCTGCTGCGACAGATGGCTCCCGCTCTTTCACCTCTCGTTACTTCCTGTGTAACTGGGTTTTCCTAACGGACTGAATCACCCGACTTTCATAATCATCACGAACAAAGGTTGTTTTTTTTCATTCCATCCTTCTAAGATGTCATAGATAAAAAATAACAATCTCACAACACTACATCAATCGAGAAACAGTACAGCGTGACGAGACCGCGCACAATGACCGCAGCTCACACCGACGCGACTGACACAAGGCCGCAGAACTCCGACTAACCCAGCCCGTTGTGGATCCTCCTGCCCAATCATACCCTCCTCCCTCCCTTCCTCCCTCTCCCCGCCTTACCTCTCCTGCCTCCCTCCCTCCCTCCCTCCTCACTCGACCTGCCTTCTCCCTCCTCTCCCCCCTTCCTCCCCTTTACTCGACCTACCTTCTCCCTCCCAACTCCCCCTACCTCCCTCCCTCCTCCCTCCCCATTCACCCCTACCCACTCAACGCTCGAATATATTCCAGGTACCCATAATGCCCTTCTTACCACCACCACCGTTTCAAAACCAACCCATCTTCTCGAGATGAAAACAAAACAACAACAACAATCCCAAAAACTAAAACCTCGACTCAACACCTCCTACAGACTTTTTGATCACAAATAGCAGTACATTCATAAGAACCCCCTCGTCTCTCAGTGGTCGTAGGAGACGGTCTAATACCCCCAGGCACCTTCACCCCACGCTAGGTACGGGAGAACCATGTAGCCCCACGAGAGAGCGAGTCGAGGAAGGTTATAGGGTTTGGAGACGAATAACGACTGGACTTCCCCCGAGTTAAGGACGGGATATTTGCGAAAATAACTTCTGGGATTTCTGAGACTTAACGGAAATCCAACCATAACTTTTAGTGAACTGTAATAGCGACATTTAATAACAATAACGACGGTGATGATGACGTCAGTAAAGAAATAAATATGAGGATTAATTTCGAGGTAATATTAGGTATGAATTAATATTCGAGAGAATGCAATTATCACAACCAGGAATGTTAGGCATTTCCATGGACGAGAGAAAAAAAATCAAGGTGAAATAATGTAACGTAACCTTTTCTGGGTTGAGAAAGTAAAGTAGTGATGAAATATATATATATATATATATATATATA